AAATTTTGGTTGGCATGTTTAAATGTATATGACTGGGAAGGGCTTAATCCAATTCCACCAGAACTATGGTAATTTTTTCTCAAATACGCATATATATATTATTTTATATTTATTGCATTCTTAATTTCTTATAATAAATGAAAAAAGGCTTCTTCCAGATTTTGTACAATTCCATCCGAGCCATTATTGGGTTCATACTCGTGCAGTATACCTCCCAATGGGGTACTGTTATGGGCGCAGATTGAGTGCCGAAATTACTTCACTAATTAAGAAACTTAGGCAGGAATTATATATTCAGCCATTTGAGACAATTAATTGGTCTAAAGCTCGAAACAATATTGCTATGGTTGATCTTTATATTCCACATACTAAATTATTAAAGTTATGCAATTGTATGTTTAAATTTTTTATGAACTTATTATTTAATAATTAAAATTATGATGTGTTATTATTTATAGATGTACATGTCCTTTCCGATTTGTTTATCACATTCAGCTTTGATGGCCTCCCTTTTAAAATTAATAGATGGCCAAAGTCTTGCATGTTCTTTGTACTTACTACGAGGAAGGGCCTAATTCTGAGGCATTCAAATTGCACAAAGAAAGATTAATTGATTATATGTGGCATGAACATCTTAGTTTCTTAAATATTTTTAATATTTATTTTAATATTTATTTTAACATTTATTTCTTAAAATTTTCTATTAAAAATTTAGTATATTACATATGTAGGTTGGGTTCGGAAGGAATGGTGATGTGTGTTACGAATGGCACTCAAAATTGGGATACTGGACTTACAGTTCTTGCAGTAATTGAAACAGGTAACAATTGCATCTTTATCAAATTTGCATTCAATCATTAAATTTATCAATTTTTGTTACTTCAAATAGGACTTGCAGATGATCCATTAAATTATCAGTCAATGATACATGCACTTGAGTTTTTAGATGATACACAAATAAAAAAAAATCCTAAAGATTCTAAAAGATGTTATCGGGATAACACACTAGGCACTTGGGGTTTTAGTACTCGTGAACATGGATATAATGTTTCTGATTGTTCTAGTTTAGGCCTCGAGGCTGTACTTAATCTTCAAAACAAACTTAGGTATGTTTTTATATAAGTTTAATATTTAAAGCCAATTATTGAAATTTTTTTTGATTTTTTGTATAAAAAGTTATACACCAAAATTAGTATCTAAGGAACGACTTTGTCAAATTATTGATATATTATTAACTATGCAAAATTCTGATGGTGGGTTCGCGAGTTATGAGCGTATTAGAGGTTCAAAAATTCTGGAATAGTTAAATCCTGCAGAACTTTTTAGCAATATAATGATTGAATATAATTATCCAGAATGTACATCTAGTGTTTTAAATGCATTACATACTTTCTGAAAATGGTATCCAGATTACAGGGCTACTGAAATAGAGTAATTTTATTTCTTTTTTGTAAAATTTATAGATATTTGATATACCTATATATATTAACTTCTCTGTTGTTAGACAAATCACTAAAAGAGCAATTCAATACCTATATAATTCTCAAGATGAAAATGGTGGTTGGTATGGATCTTGGGCTATTTGTTTCACATATGCTACTATGTTTGTTATACAGTGTCTGAAAAATTATGAAGAAACATATGAAAATAGGTATTATGTATATAAAAATTAATCTTGAGTAATAGAAAAAATAAGTTATTTTACTAAATAACTATGCCTATTAGCCTGGTAGTTAAAAAAGGATGTGACTTTTTAATTTCCAAACAAAAAGAAGATGGTGGTTGGGGTGAATCCTATAAAGTTCATATCATAATATTGATTATTATATTCAATATTATTGATTTTTTATTTTGCTTTTTTTATAAATAGTCATGTGATACAGAAACTTATATACATCATGAAAACTTACAAGTCGTAAACACAGCTTTTGCATTACTTGCTTTAATGGCAGGTAAATACCCAAATGAGGAGCCTATTCACGTGATATCTAGGTATAAGTTGACTTTTACTTAAATTGCAGCTACTTTTATTTTTTAATAGAGAATTATTATATAAACATCAATTAAACCTATCTTTTTTAGCTTATTGTATCACATCAATTACCAACTGGTAAATGGAAACCAGAATCTATAGAAGAAATATTTAGTAAAAATGCTACAGTTTGTTATCCAAGTTATAAATTTATTTTTACTATTTGGGCATTAGACATATATGCCAAAATTTATAACAATCCTATAATTTTTTAAAAATACTTTAACAATTTTGGATTGTTAAGTTTTTACAATTGTACAGTAAAACACTATTTTTGTTTTTAAGCAAATATAAGCAAATATTTAATTAATAATAATCACAGGTTGAATATGAAAATTTTAGACAAACTATCTCCCTTCTGATATTCCTATAATACATACTGATAGTTTAATGAGATATCACAATTGTATATATCTTGCAGAAATCTGCTAATACTTTGATTTTTTTTTGCAAAAAGCTTTCATATAGATATCGAACAAGGCAAATATCTCAAAGAAAGTTAAATGATATTTTGGTTAGTCTATCAGAGAGTTTTGATGAGATTATTTTAGATATTGGACAAGGCAAATATCTCAAAGAAAATTGATTGATATTTTACTAAGAATTTTAATAGAGTATCATTTATCTTATATCACTATAAGATATTAGCTATTATAAATATATAAGAGATATTGGCCAACTGATACAGCTATATATAAATATATAAGAGGTATCGATTAACCAATATAGCTATATATAAATATATAAGAGGTATTGGCTAACTAATATAGCTATATATTACAGGTCAAACTTTAAAATTTTGGCAGAATTTCTGTGAGATATTAGTGAAATATTGGATGTTTATAAAGCTAATAGCTATCTGATATTTGGCACATATTGCAGCCTATTGGATAGATATCAATTCTAATAGGCCTATTAAACATCTGATACTTCTATTAACAAAATATCAGATATTTGATATTTTATAATAGAAGTATCAGATGTTTAATAGGCCTATCAAAATTGATATCTATCCGATAGGCTGCAATATGTACCAAATATCAAATACAATATTTTACTGATATCTCACAGAAATTCTGCTAAAATTTTAAAGTTCAACCTGTGTATAAAACACAGATTGAATACAAAAATATTGGATAACATATTGGCTATCTGATATTTGTATTTTATATGATAATAATTTGTTAAAAGTTCATAATACCAGTCTGAAATGAGATCACAAGATTCGAACTATATAGTTCTCTAAAAACTGTGGTTTCTATTGGCTAAATTTCAGACTAGACAAAATTAACCCCAATGCCTTCTTAAAAGACAATGTGTAAAATAAGATTTAAAGTTTATTTTAAATATTACATTGATTGCTAGAGATATAAGATAATTAATTAGCAGTTAGTGTCTCTGTTAGATATCACTTTCAAATTTCTATCAATTAAAAATACATAGCTTCAAAACTGTAAATTAAAGTATTTTATATTTTAATCAGTATCAGTATGATTTTATCAAAAAAAAATTCACAATACAAATCAAATTACTTTTATTAATTATTGTATTTAACTTCTATTACGATTGTTAAAATCTACATGTTGAAGATTAAACAACTACTAATACTAATTTTCGCATTTACCTCGGTGAATACAACCACAATGAAAAGTACAAAGAGCATTGTTCTTACGTCAAGACAACTTCTATATTCACAATTTGTTTATTACATTGACAGACATCATTTTTCTTTAAACCTTGTTCAGTTTCTTGGCTGGATATTTTATTTGTGATCAGGTTAAGCACCAGCATTTCGTAAAGAAATAAATTTGCTCATTGAAATTACATCAAGTTTAGAAAATTCATCAGTATCTAACGTTCTAATTCGTTTGCTAAAAACTATGTACTGTATCCAATTGATATGAGTCGCAATGCTCGTCTATTCTATCAATATCATCTTTATGAGATCATCAGGTTTCAAATTTAACACACGTTTTTTTTTGTTTTCCATTAAGATTGACGGTTCTGAGTAACATGTCAATTTGCTACCATGATTATGTTTATCAGATTTAATATTCAGTCTATCAATACTTCCAACTTTAATTAATTTAAAGGTATTGGTATTAAGAACCCAATATTTAAAGTTCAAATTTTTATGTTTACTTGACGTGTTTCGTAAAATAGCCAGGCAATAATTATACTTTGAATAATTCATTATATGTCTTTTGTTTTTTTATTTTTCATGTAATCATTAATGATTTTTTGAAAACTTTAAAATAAAAGAAACGAAAAAACTATCAAAGAATTCAAAGCCATACCATATTATAGAAGCTACACTAGGTGAATAATTAGCTTGAGCCCAAGCTAATGTGAACCATAATAATATCGCCACTAACGTCTTAAATAGAACTAAAGCCATAGCTAATGCGATAGAAGCAGGCTTTAACACTAAAGTTGATCGTAACTAAACTGCTAGTGATACTGTAGGGCAAGATCCCGCTAGAGCTGCTTATATTCAAAATTACGCTAACAAACAAATTATGGGTGCTATGGCTGGTTTAGTTTACAACTTAGAAGTAATTACCAACCAAATTACGGCTGCTGAACTCCATAATACTAACCTGGATAGAACTGGAGCAGCGAACTATGACTTTAAAGATGGGGCAACTATGTGGCAGGAACTAACAATTTAGCTAAGTTTACTTACTATACTTTATTAACTAATAATCTTCACAGAAATTTTTTTTTTTATAAATCAAAATGGAAAACGAAGTTTTGACAAAAAAACAAATAATAGAAGATATTATTAATACATCATACCATATTACTCAAACCAACAATAATTTTATTCAATTGAATTTTATTGATTGCTAAAAATTGGCAGATATAAATGATCCAGATAGAATGTATAGTCTTGGTTACTGTTATGAATATAGGATTGGTATTTTACTTTATTTTTTTTTATAATTAATCTAATTTATTAAACTCATACATATTAAACTTGACATTATATATTAACTATTAATAGTTAAAACTACATACATATATCAGTATAAATTTTAAACTCAAGTACTGTATATTAATTTTGTTATTTAAAAGCAACGTACAACATCTCAAATTTTGATCTTGTACAACCTTCACTTTAATATAATAATTAGCTTTTTTTTTTGTTCTTTTTTTTATTCTTTTCTTTTTATTTGTTTATTTATTTTTTTTTTCTATTAGTTCATTTTATTCCTATTTTTCTAACTATAATTTCATCATTGAAGTTGTTGTTGGAATCTTTGCTAGAGTCATTGCTAGAATCATCACTGGAGTCATTGCTGGAGTCGTCGTTAGAATCGTCACTAGAATCGTTGCTGGAGTCATCGTTAGAATCGTTACTGTCGTTATTGTTTGAATGTTTTTTAATACTTTTTCTACAGTCCTAAGTGTAATCATTGCTGGTGCCATTTGGGATGATTTCGTTATAAATCTATACTAGTGTTATATGTCTTTTTTTCTTGTATCCTTTTTTTTGATCTTTTTCTTGTTTGTTTGTTTAGCGTTTGCTTACTAACTTCTTTTCTTTCTTTGCAAGTAGCAGTAGGTTATACTGTCATCATGATTTTGTTAATATTATAGTTTTGCTGGGCTTCACTGTCATTACTAGTATTACTATATTCTTAATCTTTTTCTTTTCTTTGCTTGTTTGTTTTATCGACTGTTTACTAACTTCTTTTTTCTTTGCAAGTAGCAGTAGTTGTCTTGTCGTTGTCGTAGTTTCACGGTTTTGCTATTATTATAGTATTAGTGGTATTACTATATCTTTGTTGTATCCTTTTTCTTGATCTTTTTTTTTGTTGCTTGTTTGTTTTAGCGTCTGTTTACTAACTTTTGCAAATAGCAGTAGGTTTTATTATCATAATTTCATTAGTGCGGTTTCGCTGTTATTAAAGTAGCTTGTTGTGATTTCGTTGGTAGTATATTTTTGGGGTTTACTGTTATTACTGTTGCTATTTTTTGTATTCTTTTTCATTTTTTTTTTTTGTTTCTTATAAACGTCATCTCTTTTTGAAGTCTTAAAATGCTTTGTCATTATTAATTATTTTCTTTTTAAATAATGCCATTATTGTCATTGTTTTGATGGAGTAAGTGTATTGTTCAGATTGGATAGTTGTCATTATTATTTCTATAAAGATGTTCTGATTAAGTGTGTTATGGTTGTGAGGCGATTGTCTTAGTGTTTATGTGTGTTATAGTTAGGTAGTATTATTGTTGTACTGTATAGTGTAGTTTCCTTTTAAAATATATTATGCTACTGTAAAAAAATAAATAAATAAATAAAATCAAGTGATTGATTTTGATTAATTGATCATGATGATGAGTTATCAATTTAATTTTTAAAGTAATGAAATATGTATTTGCTAGCTAATATTTTGCCAAAACCTTAATATAGGTCACCGAAAGCTAATAAAAATGTCCAATAGAGGTATCAATCTAATTTTTGAAGTAATGAAATACATATTTGCTAGCTGATATTTTGCCGAAACCTTAATATAAATAAGGCCAGACCAATTTAATTCTTCGTTTAACATAACCCCCTCCCCCTATTTTTCAAAATTTATATGAACCCAATACACATTAATAATAATTAATAGTATTTACCCCCCTCAATTTTTTAAATTTTATATAACCAACACATGTTAAATCAACCAATAAAATTACAGTATTATTATTTTTGTGTTTTTTTTGTCCCCTCCCCCCCACTTCTATAAATTATTTAACGTTATGTTAAACGAAGAATCAATTTGAAGTGGCCTAACTGAAACCCAGTAGAAATATTCAATATATAGGTCACCGAAAGCTAGTAGAAATTGTCTGATATGTGCCAGGCCAATAGGTTACAGGAACGTGCCAAGTATTGGTGAGCTATTGGTATGGCACGTATCACCTGGATTATACTGGATTTTGGTGACCTATATGTGACCTATCGGCTAGCAGATAGGTTGCCAAAACTTTATTGTTTGACTAGTGGTAGTTTTAAGAAACCAGAAATTATCTAGAATTATATTTTTTTTGCTAATCTGTAAATTTCACAAAATTATGCAAACCACAATAATTAACTAATTGACTAATTGATTATATAATTGATATAATTGTGTAGCTACTATTTAAGGATCAAAGAATGATACCAAATAAAACAATTAGTTGATTAGTCAAATAATTGATTAACTGACCAAACGATTAATCAGTTAATCAATTAACTGACCAATCGATTCAGTTAGTTAACTGACCAATCGATTATTGCGGTTTGCAAAATTATGTAAAATTTGCAGATCAAAAAAAAAAAAAGAAATCGATGATTTCTGATTGCCGATTTCTTTAATATATTATACTATATAAAGACTTATACACACATATATATATTTATTTAACATACATTTTTTTAAAAAAATTCTAATGACCAAAATTATTATCCGGGAACATGCACAAAGTGTCTTTTTTGTACAACTTCTAAATTTATTGTACTGAAAAAATATAGGGGAATTTATAAATAAGTGCCCAAAAAAGTAAAATAATTACATATAAGTGCCTTATTTTGGAAATTTTTACTATATCTCATGATGTAGTGAACGAAATTTAATGGTTTGGATACCATTCGAATCGACCCGACAAGACGGATCGAATGGTACTAAAATTGCTAGATTTAAATTACTGGATAACGAGATATTACGATCTAAACAGATTTTAGAAAATGTTGAAAAACTCGTAATCCAGTAATCTAAATTTAGCAATTTTGGTGCCATCCGATCCGTCTTGACGAAACGATCCAAATGGTATCCAAACCATTAAATTTCGTTCACTATAATAAAAATTTCTAAAATAGGGCACTTATATGTAATTATTTTACCTTTTTGGGCACTTATTTGTAAATTCCCCAAAAATATATATAAGTTATATTCCAATAAAAAAATAATACTAAAATTCCTTATGTTTTTACTTTGAAATTCCATGATTCTATCGGTAATAAACAAATTAATTTTCTAGTATCATGTAATAATTCTTATAAGTTTGAATTTAGTGTAACTTTTAAATTTTCTTGCTTATCATGCAATAGTAAATTTTACCGGGCTATAAAGGAAACAAAATTTAATATTACACAATCAAGTTTTTTACGACATGATGAATATACAAAGTATATTCCTACAATGTTAAATCAAATATGTTACAGAATTATGAATCTACAACTTTTATTTCTGCAAAAAAATGTTAAAGAAATCGGCAATCATCGATTTCTTTTTTTTTTTGATCTACATAATTTTGCAAACCGTTAATTAACGTTAATTAACTAACCAATCGATTAATGTCAATCAATAATTGACCAATCAATTAATATTGACAATCGATTAGTTGTCTAATAAAATTATAAAATCAACTCGATTTTTGATTTGGAACACTACCTCTATTTTAGCTTATAACTTCATTCTAAGTTTTAAAAGTAAAATTATAAACTTACATTGTGTTAAACATCATATACATATTTATATTATCTGAATAATATAACTACAATAGTGCTATAACAAAAATTAAATATATAATTTATCATTAAAAAAAGAACATCTTGTGCCAGTGGTTAAGAATAACTAGTATGCTATATCTCAAAAATGTACTCAGTAAATGTAGTCGGGGATTCTAAGTAAAAATGTTCAGGACCCTGAAAACCTCATGAAAACTGAGATCGAACCTTATATCCAATATATATTATGATGTATAAAAAAAATTATTTAATATAAAAGACTTCGATTTATCTTAAAGCTGCACCCTAACCCTAAATTTTAATAGGCTAACTAGGGTCCGGAATCGGGCGGGTTGAGCCGGCTTTCATAAAACCCGGTTCAAACTAAACTCGAAACATCTAGGTTTGGGCCTGTGACTCAATTTAATGGTTTTTTTGGAGTTTATAGGCTTTTTTTATAAAGCCCGACCAGGCCCGGTTTTAACCCGTCTCGGCCCGCTATAATTACGGGCCTAAAAATGTCAGTCTGGCCGGGCTTTTGCAGGCCGGCCAGGGTAGCCCGGCCCAATTCCGGACCCTATTTCTAACCACTGGTATAAGGAATAATAATTCTTAAAAAAATATAACACTCGAAATAAACCTAGAGCTAAGAATCGATAATCTATAACATCACTCCAAGGATTAGTTATATATAAACCCAATATTATAATTTGTTTTTGTATAACAATACATTTTATAATATAATTTTATTCGATAATACTTATCAGTTATAGTTATAAATTTTTTTTTTATTTGAGCAATATAATTTTTCACGATTTAATTTTTTAATTTTTTAATATCAAACCTATTACAATAAAATTACAAAAAATTAGAGGTCCAATTCGGATAAATCCGTCATCCAATATTTGAATTTGTCCAGATATCCATTTACTATTGGTATCCGGATAATCCGATAATTATCTGGATATCAATAGTATATAAAACGGAATCCGAATAAATTCAGATCTAGATAAATGGATAAACGGATAATGGATAGGAACTCTACAAAAATATTAGAGGCTTTTCATGTTTGAAGAGTCCCCGTTATTTTATATAAAACAAAAGAAAAATATAGAAAATATATTATAGCCTAACATATGAAATCTTATGAAGGTAAGAAATATTGAATTTTGAAAAGTAATTAAGTACAATATT